TGGCCAGGCTTGCCTCGAACTCCTGACCTCAATGATCCACCCACCTCAGCCTCCCAAAGTGCTGGGATTATAGGCGTGGGCCTCACACTACATCTTTTCCAAAGTCCTGGCAATGTTGTTTTAGACAATCAGTGTACATAATTATACACTCAATACAGTCTCTTTCTGATGAATAGAAGAAAAGTGTCTTGAGAAAGAGACATCTTTTTCTAACTCACAAAAGGAACCATATGAATGAACTGTAGTCCTAGCAAAGGATATGTAACTTATATGTCAATTTACAAAATTCAAAATCTTCTGAACCTTCCCCCACCTTTGTGTATCGTGTGGTACAAACGTGAATTAGAGATGAATCAGAACTCAGGCTAGCAATTTAACAGACTTTCCTGTGCCTTTCTCCTGTCGCTACATTTTAAGCTGGAAGAGACCTTGGAGGTCAGCTAGTCTCCTTCCTTGTAAATAGGGAGTTAATCTGAGGCCCACAGAGGCCGTGTGACTTACTGTCTTAGCCTGCTCAGGCTGCTAGAACAAAATACCATAGAATAGGTGGCCTCAACAACAAAAATTTAGCAGGGCGCAGTGGCTCACACCTATAATCCCAGCACTTTGGGAGGCTGAGGCAGGCAGATCACCTGAGGTCAGGAGTTCAAGACCAGCCTGATCAAAATGGAGAAACCCATCTCTACTAAAAATACAAAATTAGCCAGGCATGGTGGTGCGTGCCTGTAATCCCAGCTATTCGGGAGGCTGAAGAAGGAGAATCGCTTAAACTCAGGAGGCAGAGGTTGCAGTGAACCAAGATCATGCCATTGCACTCCAGCCTAGGCAACAAGAGCAAAACTCCCCCGGCAAAAACAAAAACAAAAACAAAAACAGAAATTTAGTTCTGGAGGCCGGGAAGTCAACGTGCCGGCTAATTCTGTTCCTGGTGAGGACTCACTTCCTGGATGGCAGGTGGCTGTCTTCCCTTTGTCCTCACGCGGCCTCACCCGGCAGCGAGAGAGAGCAAGCTTTCTGGTCCCTTCGTCTAAGGGCACTAATCCCATTATGAGAGCTCATGACCTCATCTAAATCTGGTTACCTCCTGAAGGCCCCACCTCCTAATACCAACACATGAGGGTTTAGGCTTTAACGTTTGCATTTGTGGGGTCACATACATTCAGTCTATAACACATACACAAGGCCATCAGGAGCCAATGCCTATCCCAGGGCCCATACCCCTGTAGGCATCACACTGGCTGCCAGGTGGCAAGGCATTCAACTGGACTGGGAGGAAATCTTCCTTCTCCAGCTTCCCATCCAGGCCTCCCCAAAATGGTCACCTTGCCATGGCCATGCCTGGTCAGAGAAAACGCAGTGTGATTCCAAGGACTAAGGTTTTTGGAGGGGTTGGATGCTGCTGCATCAATCCTGCCTGAAATCACACAGCCATTGGCTGGGGCTTGGAAGTCTTCTGCCCACCCTGAGATCCCCGCCATTGAGGTAAGAGTTATCCTAGCACTTGATCATAGTCCTGGAGTCTCGAATGAAAAATGGCTTGGTCCACTGCCCCAGGAATGCCTTCTGCACAGTTTGGCTGATCAGTTGAGGATTCCTGCCCAGTAACTGGGGCTTGAATCTTCAAACTGTAGACTGTGAATACACACATGTACGTGGAGGGTCTGAAGGGACCAGGAAGCAAGAAAGCATCTGTCCAAAGTCTCAGAAAAGATGTATTGACATGACTCTAGCATCTGAATGTCTGTCACAACCCAGTAAACGACTCTTGGCAAAGACCTCCCTGCAAGAAGCTCAGAAGACTTCAGACCCCAGCCCTGTCCCTTCCCAATGGCCCACAATATGGGATATTACAGGGCAATGAAACAAACAACCGCCCCACTCAACACTATGGACGATGTCACAGTGTAATGTTTAATGAAAGAAGTGAGACCCAAAAGACTACACAGAGTATGACCCTACTCTGTTCCGGCCAGGCTCAGCCAGGTCTTGAATTCCAGGCTCAGGGGATCCTCCTGCCTTGGCCTCCCAAAGTGCTGGAATTACAGGTGTGAGCCACCATGCCCAGCCCATGTATGCATTTCTAAACACTCAGTGTAATTCTGTCTTCCTTTGAACTTTATAGAAGTAGGCTCATACTCTGTGTAGTCTTTTATAATTCCAGCACTTTGGGAGGTCAAGGCAGGTGGATCACGAGGTCAGGAATTCAAGATCAGCCTGGCCAAGATGCTGAAACACCATCTCTACTAAAAACACAAAAATTAGTCAGAAGTGATGGTGGGCACCTGTAATCCCAGCTACTTGGTAGGCTGAGGCAGAGAATTGCTTGAACCCAGGAGGCAGAGGTTGCAGTGAGCCAAGATCACACCGCTGCACTCCAGCCTGGGCAAGAGAGCGAGACTCTGTGTAAAAAAAATAAATAAATAAGGGTTAGCTGGGCATGGTGGTGTACACCTGGAGACCCAGCTACTTGGGAAGCTGAGGTAGAAGGAATACTTGAGCCTAGAAGGCAGAGGTTGCAGTGAGCTGAGATCACGCCACTGCACTCCCACCTGGGGGACAGGGTGAAACCCTGTCTCAAAAAATGAAGGGAAATTAAATTAAAATAGAAATGCAGACATAGATGGAAAACTTGAAAGAAAAGCAAGGAAAAATTCAGAGCATGGTTAACCCTAAGGGAAAGGAAGCAGCTGTGACGAGGACAGGCCCGTGGGGGTGGTTTCTGGGAAGCAGCCAGTGTGACTATTTCTTGACCTGGGCAGTAGCTAAATGGACATTCACCTTATAATCATCCCTCACACTGCGCATGCATTTTCTGCATTCTTCCGTCTGCAATAATAAACTTCCAGCGTCCGTGCTGGTGAGCAGAGTCTGGTGCCTCGGAGTGGGCTACGGGGTCAGCGGAGGAGGTGCTGCCCTCAGAGCAGACCTCTCCAGAGCTCAGGTGAACTTCTCCCCATCCCTTGCCCCAGCTATGTTCCTATAATCTGCTAGTCTCTAGCTCCGTGGGCTGAAACTGAGCCAGTCCTGGGAGCCAGCCAGCCTGTGGCTAGAAGATGGCAGGGCCATCTCCTGCAGGGCATTGGTGCGAAGGGCGAGGAACTGCCTGGCTCAGGACAGAGGCGATTACAGGCCCCTTACACCACTTCCCGGGGCCAGGGACGAATGCCCTGCGGCCAGCCTCAGTGATGCTCTGACAGAGCAGGGACTCTGTCCCTACCCTCCCTGCACTCCTGGGGACACGGCAGCCTCTGAGGTCCTCTGCCAGCACCGGCACTTGCCCTGGAGAAGTGACTAGAAAATCTTAGTTTCAGGACACTGAAATGTGCTCCAGAAAGAAACATGCCAGTCTCCACCATGACAACAGCATCAACGGCGGTAACTTCCCTTCCGCGCACGGGCTAACGTGCTGCTGCCCTCCTGGCTGTCCCCATGCTCGCAGGCGGCACCATGAGAGGCTTTTCTTAAACCCCTCCTCACACATGAGACCTGAGGCTCACCGAGGCAAAGAGCGAAAGTCCACACAGCCAGAAAGAGGGGTGTTAGAATTCAAACCCAGAGCAGAGTCCCTCCAAGGCCTATGCTCTCATGGGGTGCCCCAGCACCCCCAAGCATGGTGCCATCCCCACAGCATGCCCCCACCCCTTCCAGCACCATCGCCCGCAGCACCCCAGGGAGCCGTTGCCCTGTGAGGGTTCTGCACTCAGAGGCCATGACTCAGGGAAGGGCCAGCCCAGGCCAGCCCCCTCCTTCCTTGGCTCCCAGCGCTCAGAGAGCAGTGAGTCCCACCTCCTCCCTTAGAGCCGCCACATGAAGGCCCAGAGCAGGTCAGGGACCTTCCCACCGTCACACAGCCTCCATGTCACGGCAGGATGCCTTTTCTTTCACTGTACCTTTGTGCTTGCTCCAGTTCGGGTCCTTGTCCCTCCCTCCAAGGACTTCAGGGGTCTTGATCCGCCCTCCCATTCACCTCCCCACAACAGGCGGCTCAGTGGACCTATCACCTCTCACCTCTCTGTCCAGAGGCCAAACCCCTGTCACTGGAGGAATCCAGGGTCCTTGGTCTCTGTAGAGACGTTGATGCTCACGGGCCCAGGGAGGCAAGGATGGGGCCACCCCAGGCTGGCCCACCCTGGTCCCTCCAAGCCACTAAGTCCTGGGCCGCAGCCTCCTGTCCGGGCAGGTGCTGGATGGCTGCGAGCCCCGCTGCTGGCGCGCTCCAGCTCTCAGCAAAGTTCTCCTTGAGTAAACAAGGCTGCATAGCAACCACTCTCCGAAGGAGCGCACGGCTCCCTGCGTGGGGGAGAGACAGACCCAGGAGACTTTTCCCCTTGGTCTCATTGCCTCTGTGGCTCACCCAAGCACAGGCACTCCCAAGTGGCCAATCTGTCCTCTGGGGTCATGGACACCACAGAAAGAGAGCGCACTGGGCCCCCCTGCCCAGTGGCTGCAGCCAGGAAGTGCACAGCAGGCTTGGCGCAGGCATGTTGCTGGCGGTGGAACCCCTGGTTTTGCTTACGGCCTCTGGGCTCAATCTGCTTCTGCTTAGTAGCTCTTCTGGAGGCAGAAGGGCAGAGGGAGCATCCAGGCCTTGGCAGCAGGCAGAGCTGGGTTTGAATCCTGATCTGGCTACTTCCAGCTCTGTGCGCTCTGGTCAAAACTTTACCTTTCTTGACCTCAGCTTCCTCATCTATAAAATGGGTACAACAATAGTACTGACTTGATAGGGTTTCAAAGGTGCATGTAACAGCTGTAGTTTTGTCTAGCACTTGGTAGGCTCTCCATCGCTTCCCCAGAAATCCTTGCAGAGCAGGAAGCCTGTGGCCTTCCTCCCAAGCAGATTTCTCCACCTTCACTTTTGGAAAATGGGATCCAAGCAGCCCATGTGTGCTTCCTCACTGAGCCCAGACTCTTGGGCAGAAATCCCAGGCTGGCATCCTCTCCCTGGAATGACAGCCAGTCCCACTCCTCACACTACCCCCTTCTAGCCCTCACCATCTGGGGGCACAGAGTGGGAGCCAAGGACACCATTTGTATGCAGGCTTGCAAACAGCCACTCGCCCAAAGACACTATGAATTTTCCCAGGCAGCTCCTCCCCATATTCCATATAGAGGAATCGGCAGGTGTGTGCAACACGCAGGGAGGGCTGGTGGGAGGCTAGCTACACCTCCTCGAGGCCCGCTGAAATGCCTGTACAGAGGTAGCTTCTTCCTGGGACTCTCTCCTCTTCCCTGAGACGGCCAGTAGGGAGCAAGGAAGGAGCAAGGAGGGCCAGTCAACTGTGACTGAGAACAAGATCCCCCTGGGGCAGGTGCTGGCCCCAAGCCAGAGGTCAATGGAACTCCTGAACTCCCTGCAGCAGAGACACACTTCTTCCAAACCAGGAACGGTGTCTGCATGGATTCCCCCAGGAGACAGGGATGAAGATGCCCAAGAGGTTACAGGCGGGGAAAGAGAGGCCTGGCAAGGTAAGCCCTGGCCCCAAGCCACACAGCTTGTGAGTGACAGCGAGTCACTATGGGAACCCAGGGCGGGGACGTGATAAGGCAGGTTTTGGTATCCCTCAGCTCTGCAGGGGGACAGTGTATGCACAGCTCCCCCAAAAGCCATCCTCACGTCACAGCTTGAGTCAGAGCTTCTAGAACACAGATCCAATGGTCGTGCCCTGCTGGACACCCCTCATGGCTCCTGCTGTCCTTGGAGTAAGGGCCAGACTCAGCACCATGGCCGCCAAGCCCCTCCAATCAGGCCCCACTGCATCCTCTTTCAGCTCCTGGGTTCTTCACACTCTGCCTCCACTGGATGGCCAAGCAATGCACACTCCCGAGGTGGGGCGGCCATGCTCTGTGCCAAGTGCTAGGGACACAGGAGGCAGCACAGCCCGTCCTCGGGAGCTGAGTGATGGAGAGGGGTCCCAGCAGGTAACGCCCTGCTCATTTCTGTGTTGCCTGCAATAAGGGAGCACAGGCAGGCTGCATCGATAGCAATGAGAGCTGTATTGATAGCACAGCCCTTAAGAACCAGGGCTCTGGCCAGGCACAGTGGCTCACGCCTATAATCCCAGCACTTTGGGAGGCCGGGGGCAGGCAGATCACAAGGTCAAGAGATTGAGACCAGCCTGGACAACATGGTGAAACCCTCTCTCTACTAAAAATACAAAAATTAGCTGGGTATGGTGGCACACGCCTATAGTCCCAGCTACTCAGGAGGCTGAGGCAGGAGAATCGCTTGAACCCAGGAGACAGAGATTGCAGTAACCTAAGATCTTGCCACTGCACTCCAGCCTGGGCAACAGACCGAGACTACATCTCAAAAAAAAAAAAAAGAGAGAAGCAGAGCTCTGAAGCCCCTGGATTCCAGACTGGACTCTGATCCCAGCAATGACATCTTAGGCAAGAAACAAATTCTCTGTCTTGGTTCTCCCTCCCTGGGGTGGCTCCAGTGACCCTCAGTGTGCCCCCCAGGCATAGAGCACACACTCATCCTCACTGTGACCATGGACAGAGAGTGAACCCAGGGGCAGTGAGGTGTGACATCCACATGAAACCCCTGAGGTAAGGAGCAGGCCAGGTGAGCAACATGTGTGGAAATCACTGAGGCAAACACAACCTGAGTCCCGGGCCTCAGGGGCAGCCAGGAGCTGCCCGGAAGGATAGGGGGCGCTCCAGGTGGGGAGGGGAGCCAGGCTGCCACCTAGAAGCTCTCTGGAACTCCACTGAAGAGATCTTAGAAAGGGACATGAATCCCAGGACTCAGTCATTTGTTGTGACTTCTTTTCTCATTCTAGAAAAATATTTTCAGCTGGGCGCAGTGGCTCACGCCTGTAATCCCAACACTTTGGGAGGCTGAGGCAGGCAGATCACTTGAGGTCAGGAGTTCGAGACCAACCTGGCCAACATGGTGAAATCCCATCTCTACTAAAAATACAACTGTTAGCCAGGTATGGTGGCGTGCACCTATAATCCCAGGTACCCTGGAGGCTGAGGCAGGAGAATCACTGGAACCCAGGAGGCAGAGGATGCAGTGAGCCAAGATCGCACTACTGCACTCCAGCCTGGGTGACAGAGCAAGACTCCACCTTAAAAAAAAAAAATACATATATATATATATATAAAAAATATATATATATATAAAATATATATATAAAATATATATCTTCATCTATATATTCATACTTAATTTTGTTTTCTTATATATATTATATATATTTATATTTATAAGAAATACATATTTAATATATAAAAATCCCCTTTATATATATAAGAAATATATATTTAATATATAAAAATATATATTATGTCTATAAATATGTATATTATATAAATAATATGTTTTTATATATTAAGTATTTCTTACATAATATAGAATATATGAATATATAGTATATATTATATAGAATATATTAAATATATATTTAATATATATATTTTAAGAATGAAAACAAAATTAATATATTCATACTTAATTTTGTTTTCTTTCTTAAAGAAGCCCCCAAATTGTTTAAGCCTCAACCTCGAAAAGCCTGGATCGACCCCTGGAGGAAGGGCAGCCAGACCCTTGGAAGAGGGTCAACAGCTACGAAGGAAGCCAGGTGTCGCCTGTCTCCTCCAGTGCCCAGTGCTCCCAGTCATCTCCCAACTCTCCTGGGTGTGCTCACACTGGCCTGGCCCACCCCAGAACTGATCAACAAACACTTGATGTGGATGCATTAAACCTGCTCATGATACAGACTCACAGGCCGGGAGGAGGGCTCTTGAAAGAATCAAGTAAGTAGCCCCCTCCACATCCACAGGGGATCGCCCCCACCAACCCCAGAAAGCCGCTCCAGATTTCAGAGACCAACATTCTATAACTTTCTGTGCTGATGAATTTGGTTAGTGGAAGACTACTAAATTCTGGTCCTGTTCCCTCAGTAAAAAATGTCACCAGGAGTCCTCTTGGCCCTTGTTGATTTGTAAGTGAACAAACCTGTTTCTATGTCTAGCACCATGAAGGACTAGGTATCCTAATCACATCTCCCTTTGCAAATGACCTGGACAGCCTGTGTCCGGATAGTCTCCCGATCACAGAGCTGGGCTATTAGCAGGGACTTCACTGAGGGGTCTTCTCCTCCCCTGCTCTGGGGTGCAGCTGTCATGCTCCTCCTCTCTCCTGGCCTTTGCGCATGCTGTTCCCTCTACCCCAAAAGCCTTTCCCATATCCCTTCCGACCCCTTACTTACACCTATCTCTGGCTGGACATGGTGGCTCACTCCTGTAAGCCCAGCACTTTTGGAGGCCAAAGTGGGCGGATTACCTGAGGTCAGGAGTTCAAGACCAGCCTGGCCAACATAGTGAAACCCCGTCTCTACCAAAAATACAAAAATTAGCTGGGCATGATGGTGCATGGCTGGAATCTCAGCTACTCATGAGGCTGAGGCAGGAGAATCGCTTGAGCCCAGAAGGCAGAGGTTGCAATGAGTCAAGATTGTGCCACTGCACTCCAGCCTGGGTGACAGAGATAACTCATCTCTTTTTGCTTTTTTTTATTTTGAGACAGAGTCTTGCTCTGTCAACCAGGCTGGAGTGCAGTGCCACAATGTTGGCTCACCACAACCTCTACCTCCCAGGTTCAAGCGATTCTCCTGCATCAGCCTCCCAAGTAGCTGGGACTACAGGCACATGCCACTAAGCCTGGCTAATTTTTTGTATTTTTAGTAGAGTCAGGGTTTCACCGTATTAGCCAGGATGGTCTCAAGCTCCTGACCTCGTGATCTGCCCACCTCAGCCTTCCAAAGTGCTGGCATTACAGGTGTGAGCCACCTCACCCAGCCTGAGACTTCATCTCAAAACAAAGACAAATCCTTATACCTATCTCCCTTACCAACTACCACCCCCTTTAGGGGAGCCCTTGCTGACTCTCTAGGACTAAAAGAGGTGCCTCTCCTCTGCCTTTCTAGGGCCAGCATTTCCCCATCACAGCACCGCTCATCCGCTGACTGTAACTGCTCGCTCTGTCCCAGCCCACCAGTCAGACACACAGACCTGGACTGTGAACTCCCTGGGGGCAGGATTCATGCCTTATGTCTCTAGCACCAGCCAGGGCCCATAACAGACATTCAACACAGGGGTTGAGAGAACGACATCAACCTGCCTGCACGTGGGAGAGGAGACAGCGGGCAGAATAAGAAACCCTCCCCTGCAACGTTCACCACTTCTCCCAGGACCAGACCTGAGGTCCAAGCTGCAGACCAGAGTCTGAGCCCCATGCATTGTATGGCTGGGAACAGGTAGGGGGAGCTCTGACCTCCTGTGCTGGTGTTGCCCCGTTATAATCCAGGACCATCCCAGGCCCAGCTGGAGGTCAGATCCCAGGGAGCATGTGGCATGAGGGAACCTCGTAGGGATCCTAGGAGGTGGAATGCTTAGACGCCACTTCATCTCTGCCTCTGGGGCCCACCCCTTGTAAGGCGTCCCCAGGCTAAGGATGGTTGGCATATGGCATGGCCAAGGCCCAGGCAAAGGGGAGAGAGAGTTGGTTCCAGTCCTGACTTTGTCACCATTACTGTGTGCCCTCCAATAAGTCCCTGCCCTCCTTGGGCTTCCAAACTGTCATTTGTGATCAGACACTGGGTGACCTCCTGGTCCCTTGGAGCCCTGATGCCCTGTGTCCTGGGCCCTGGCTTGGGCTGAGGAGAAGGGATGGAAGCCCCCCTCCCTTCACAGGCCACAAGCTCCCAGGCAGTGAAGCAGACAATGGAGGCAAGCTGACACTGCCTCCAGACTGACTCTGCGCTGACTCATCTCCCAAAATACCACTGCCCCACCCTCTTCAAGGCCAGCCCCAGCCCAGAGAGCCTGGAAAGCCCTGTTGGTACCACAGTCTGGGTGGGGGTGCTCAGACCCTGCCAAGGACACTGAACAGGCCCCTCCCGACCAGCACCTGCCGCTGGGCTGGTGCGTTCCCTGGGAAGTTCCTAGGAAACTCTAGAATAATATATGCAACCTAAGCACAGGATCAGAGACAGGACCCGGTCATGCCCCTCTTCTTACAGATGATGGAGTCACATGGGAATTCAGTGGTGTGACAGGGGGTGACAAGTCCTTCCGGTTATGCTGCTTGTGGCCCCGGCTGCCCTTCAGGGCTTCTCCCAAGAGAAGCCAACCCCTCGCCTCACATGGGGTGTGCCTCTCCCTCCTTTCTCCCCTTTCCAGAAAAGGTCATGTCAGAGAAGAGCAGCTCACTGCCCCACAGCCATAGGAAAGTGCGAGAGATGGAGGGCCAGGGGAGGGGAGGAGTTAACAGGTGAATAAATAACTCTGGAAGCTAACAGCAAAAAAGAATTTGATATATTTTTATAAGAACATGCAAAGAAATAAGAAATATGAAAATGTGCCAGTCGTGGTTGCTCACTTGGGAGGCTGAGGCAGGTGGATCACGTGAGGTCAGGAGTTCCAGACCAGCTTGGCTAACAGGGTGAAACCCCATTTCTACTAAAAATACAAAAAGTTAGCCGGGGGTAGTGCCAGGCACCTGTAATCCCAGCTCCTCCAGAGGCTGAGGCAGAAGAATCACTCGAACCTGGGAGGCGGAGGTTTCAGTGAGCCGAGATCATGCCATTGCACTCTGGCCTGGGCAACAAAAGCGAAATTCTGTCTCCCCCCACAAAAAAAAGACAATGTGTAAAATGCTCCCACACTTCCAGTTTATAAAAATTAATCAAGCGTATGTCTCACATACTTATAATATGTACATATTCCTATATGTATATTATCATTTTTCTAAAAAGCCTCCACCAGCGGAGCCCAGTGGGGAGCTGAAATTCTCTACCCTCCATCAGCAATGAGGACAGGCATAGGGATCTGAGGCAACGTCCTGCTTTTGCTGAGATGGCATCAGCAAGGCCCGATGGTGAACTCAACATCTAATTCCACCTAGATCTGTGTGCTACACCTAAACAGGGGAAACACCCTATAAAAAAAGAAGACAGAAGGGGATCTAGAATCTCCCAACACGATACCCAAAATGTCCGGGAGACAACTGAAAACCACTCATCCTACCAAGAACAGGTAAAATGAATGAGAAGAGGCAATCAATGATGCAGCGCCAAGATGCTGCGGACTGGAGGATTATCTAACATGGATTTTTAAACAGTCACAAAAATGCTTCAATTTGCAATTATGAACATGCTTAAAACACGTTGAAAAAAATAAAAAGTCTCAGCAAAGATACACAAAGCACAAAGGAAAACAACTGGAAGTTTTAGAACTAAAAAATACAGGTTGGGTATGGTGGCTCACACCTATAATCCCAGCCCTTTAGGAGGCTGAGGCGGGTGGATCACGAGGTCAAGAGATCAAGACCATCCTGACCAACATGGTGAAACTCTGTCTCTACTAAAAATACAAAAAAATTAGCTGGGCGTGGTGGTGCACACCTGTAGTCCCAGCTACTCGGGAGGCTGAGGCAGGAGAATTGCTTGAACCCGGGAGACAGAGATTGCAGTGAGCCGAGATTGTGCCACTGCACTCCAGCCTGGGTGACAGAGAAAGACTCTAAAAAAAAAAAAAAAAAAGATATATCATAATCAAAGTTCAGAAAACTAAAGGCAAAGAGAAAGTCTTGAAAGCAGCTAAACATCCCATTGCCTATAGAGAAACATAACACAAGTGAGAATGGATTTCTCATCAGAAGGCATGGACAACCAAGAGAATGGCAGATTTTTCCAATGTTGAAAGAAAAAAAAAACCTATAAACCCAGGATTCTATATTTTTCAAAAATATAGATGAAATCAAGACATTGTTAGGTAATGAAAACTAAGAGAATCTGTCACCATCAGATCCACCCAAAAGGAATGGCTAAGGGCAGGCTAGTCGTAGTGGCTCATTCCTGTAATCCTAGCACGGGGAGGCTGAGGCGGGATGATAACTTGAGGCCAGGAGTTTGAGACCAGCCTGGGAAACATAGCAAGACTCTGGTCTCTTAAAAAAAAAAAAAACATTTTTTTTTTTAAATTAGCTGGATGTGGTGAGGCACACTGTTGGTCCCAACTACTTGGGAGGCTGAGGTAGGAGGATTGCTTGAGCCCAGGAGTTTGAGGCTGCAGTGAGCCATGATCACACCACTGTACTGCAGCCTAGGTAACAAAGTGAGACTGTGACAAAGAAAGAAAGAAGAGAGAGAGAAAAAGAATGAGAGAGAGAGAGAGAGAGGGAAGAGACAGACACTAAGGAAAGTACTTCAAACAGAAAGGCGGTGATAAAAGAGGGAACCATAGAGTGGCTATCCAAGGAAGAAGGCAAGCAGGTGAGGACGGGCATCTGGATCAGAGCCTGGGGGAGCTGTTGCTCCAAGCACAGAAGGAAAACGCCAAATCTGTGTTGAAATCTGTTCTCCTCGTCACCCTGTGGGAGGGATGTCAGCCAATCACAGCCCATACAGAGGAAAGAGGGCGTGATGGGGCAGGACTCTAGACCACATCACGTGAGCAACAGTGAAGACATAAAGAGGACTCAGAGGCAAGCACGAGGGCTCCATTCCATCAGTGGTGGGACAACCAGCCACGCGGGATTGAACTTGGCCCTGTGGCTTGTATAGTAATTCACAGAAGTGTAGGAGGACAGAGTTCTTAACAAGTGGCTCTAACAAAAGGCTTTCCATTCATAGAGGTGTTCAAAAAGCCAGACAGCAGCAACCTTCCAGGACGTTTCATAGACAGCAGGCTCTTTCCACCCCAATCTCCCAGCCCCACCAAGAACCTTTCTAGCTCAGGGACCCCAGAATACGGAGGACATGTAAGACACAGTCCCCTGCCTGCCAGGTGGTGCCTATGTTCTATTCCAGCTATAGTCTGGAATCATGCCTTTGGCCAGACCTCCCTCAGGGCCAGTGGGAATCTCCAGCCCAGCCATTCTCCAAGTGTGTTTTGTGGAACAAATGAAGACTGTGGAAAGA